AAGTTCCAACTCTAAATTTTTTTTCAGATTATATTTTTTTTTTCATCTGATTTTATTTTTTTTATTTAAAAAACAACCGAATACTTTGAAACAGAGAATAGGGATATGAAAAAATCAAATAATGTTAGAGATAGAACCAGATTATAGTACTTTTTTTTACTGATTTTTTTATTTTTTTAATCTGAAAAATCAGAGCAATACTTCGAATACAAAGAATATGGATCTGAAAAAATTCAGATTTGAACTTCAAACATTTAGATATGGACTTTTGTAAAAAAAAAAAATTTAGAGTTGGAACTTCAAACATTAGATATGGAATTTTGTAAGAAACAAAATTTTAAAGTGAGATGGAACCGTGGAGGTTTCTGAAGAGAGAATTTATGCGAATGGTTTCTCAGTTTCTTTATAAGGGTAGGAGGCTAGTATAATAATTATATATAATGAGAGACCCAAAAGAAAGTTAGCAAAAAAATATTAATTAATTATCGGGAAAGGAAATACACGCGTCAACTGCTAAAGTAGCGACTGTGATTAGCACCACTCGAATTAATTTATCTTGAATTTTTTCTGACTGCAAATTGAATTAAATTCATAAAACATATTATTTAGTAATTAAATTCTTTCTTATATTTTCTTGATTTATTTTTTTTCTATCAGACACGACTCCAAAACACAAACACCGTTTAAAACTGAGACTTCAATGACTTACTTCTCCAACGCTGCAATGCCACTAAAACTCTTATATTTTTTTAATATTTATATCACTTTTTGCTTTCCCCCAAAGGTGGATTCAAAGAATGCTTTCTGGATTTGGGTACTCTTTCTCAAGGTAATGTTTCTCCCTCTCTTTCCAATTCGGTGGTGGTAGCCAGCCTTATGTGGCCCCAAACCCCTCAATGAGGGTTCTGGTGTGGAATTGTCAGGGTTTGGGGAACCCCCTGACAGTTTCCCAGTTGAGGAGGTTGGTTACCCTCTATTCCCCCCCCCCCCCCCCCCTCCCCCTTGATTTTTCTATCTGAAACTAAGAATAATGGTGATCGGGTGGCACGAGTTAGAAACTGGCTGGGGTCTTACGAGTTGTTTGAGGTTCCGTCTTCTGGCCGAGCCGGAGGTTTGGCTTTACTGTTCTCTCCACAGTGGAAAATCTCTATTGTTGATTTTACAGAGTTTCAAATCACCTGCGAGGTGATTGGGGGTAGAGGTGTTGATCCTTGGTTTTTCACTGGGGTTTGCAGGTCTTATACCGAGAAAGACAGAGCTTTACAGTGGTGTTATATTCATAATGTGAAATATCAGTTGAGTCTGCGATGGATTTTGGTCAGCAATTTAATGCTCTCCTTCATAAAGATGAGAAAATCAGTGGGAATTCAAAGCAAGGTTGGATGTTGAGGGAGTTTAAAATTTTTCTCTCTGACTGTGATCTCTCTGACCTTCGATTTAAGGGTTTCCCATTTACATGGTGCAATAACTGGGAAGAGAGCCAGCTTATTATGGCTAGACTTGATAAAGCTCTTGGTACACATGCTTCATCATTTAACTGTTCAGGGCTCTGATCACCGTGCTCTTCTTCTCTGTTTGAATGACTCGATTATTCACAAAAAAAGTAATTTTCATTTTGATGCGAGGTGGATCAAAGAGCTGGATTTTAAACCTACCATTTAGAAGGCTTGGGCATTTACTGGGACGGGGACTCCTTTGTCTGTTATTAAGTAGAGGTTACGTCAATGCAAGCCTGATCTGGAATTTTGGAGGAAGGGTAAATGTGACAATGACCAGACGAAAATTAAGTTTCTTCAAAATAGATTGATCAAACTTAAGGATTAACTCAAAGGTTTTAATAGAGCAGAGTGCTCTCTTTTGGAACATGAGCTCCGTATAGCTTAGTGAGATGAGGAATTATTTTGGAAACAGAAGTCCTGAGTCACATGGCTTAATCACGGAGACAAAAATACCAAGTTCTTCCATAGAAAGACGAAGATCAGACGCCATAAAAATGAAATTCTTGGATTGGAGGATTCTCAAGGCCAATGGTGTGATTCTAAAGATGATATTCGAAGGGTGGCAGAGGACTAATTTCATTCCATTTTCTATTCTTTCTCTATCGCCAATGATGCGGAATTTTGGGATTTGGTTTCTCCTAAAGTCTCTCTGGCTATGAATGACGAGTTGTTACAGGATGGGTCAGTTGAATAGTTGAAACAAGCTTTTAGTGGTATGGGTCCATTCAAAGTTCCGGGTCTTGACGGTTTCGCTTTTCCAAACCAATTGGGAGATGGTGAAAGATGACCTCTTGCAAGGTTTCAACTCTTTTCTTAAGGGAGACCAGATGCTAGAGAGTCTAAACGCTACCAATCTCTGAAACTGATTCTCCCTTTGTTAATTAATGAATCCCAAAGTGCTTTCATTCCGGACAGACTAATTCATAACAATATTGTTAATCCGCATGATCTGATGTATGTTATTAAGTCTCGAAAAAGTTGTTCTACCCCAAGTGTATTGGCTCTCAAGCTTGATATGGCCATAGCCTATGACAGAGTTAGCTGGGATTTTCTTGAGAGATTTATGATTCATTTGTGTTTTGCCAGGAGGTGGGTTGATTTAATTCTGGAATGTGTAATGACAGTGAATTTTTCAGTGGTTTTTAATGGGGAAAGAGGGGCCAGATTTTTTCCTTTTTGGGGTTTTCGTCAGGGCGATCCTATCTCTCCATATTTATTCCTTTTTTGCACTAAAGGTCTTACCATTCTCATTCAAGAGGTCGTTCGTAGGAAACAACTCACGGGACTCCAAATGGGAAAGGGTTGTTTGCCAATCTCCCAGTTGCTTTTCACGGATGATGCTTTCCTTTTTTGCCTGGCTAAGGATAACCAGGTGATTTGTCTTAAACATATCCTTGATAAGTGTGAAGCACTTACTGGTTAACTCATTAATTTGGAAAAGTCTTGCCTTTATTTTAGCCCAAATACTCCAGCTCCTTTGCGACATTCTCTAAGATTATTAGTGGGTATTACAAATGTGGACTTGTCCAACAGGTATTTAGGTCTTCCCTCTCTGTTAGGTCGATCAAAAATTGTTGCCTTTAGTTTTCTTTCTGATAAAGTCTCAGCTAAAACTTAACTACTCAAAGGTCAGTTCCTCTCCAAGGCTAGGCGGGAGGTAATGGTTAAAGTTGTGCTCTCTACTACTCCTACTTATGCAATGCACTGTTTTAAGATCACTAAACAGCAATGCATGGTTTTAACGAGCAAATTTCTTAATTTTTGGTGGAGTGGTGAGGAAAAGTCTTCCAAAATTAAAGGATTAGTTGGGATACCCTTTGCATTTCTAAAGATGTGGGGGGTTTGGGGTTTAGAAATGTTGAAGCGTTCAACTTGGCACTCCTTACAAAATTGGCTTGGAGGATGGAGATGGAGGATGGCTCATTATTGTTCAAGTTGTTTAAGAAAAAATACTTTAGTAAGTATGGTTTTCTTGATTCTTCAAATTCACCCAAGTCTTCGTGGGTTTGGAAGAGTATGCAGGCTGCTAAAGGTGTCATTCGGAGGGGATGAAAGTGGTGAATTAGGGATGGTTCAAATGTAGACTGTTGGAAGGATAATTGGCTTTCGGATAGGTCCAACTTTGCTATAACTTCAAAATAGACTTGTGCTTCCATCAACTCAGTTGCGGATCTGATCAATGAGTCCACTTACTCTTGGAATGCTGTTTTGATCTCTCGCTAGTTAAATCATAAAAATACTGATCTAATCCTTCAAATTCCTCTACGTCAGTTGGATGGGCCGGATAAAAAATTTGGGGGCTCACCTCAGATGGTCGATTTTCAGTCAAAAGTGCATATTATGTTGCTCTCTTTTTACTTACACCACAGACGCCCAATCGAAAATCTTATGCTGAAATGGCTAGCTGTAGTTTTGACTCAGAAAAAAAGAGTTTGTGGAGAGAAGTTTGGAAGATTAAGGCTCATCGGAAGATCCAACTTTTTTTTGTGGCAAAGTTTACATGTTAGATTGCTGGTGCTCCAATAACTATCTTTTAGAGGCGGGTCAGATGAGGCTATTTGCAAATGTTGTGGGTCTGCCATTGAGACTATTGATCACATTTTGTGTACCTGCCCTTTTGCTTGCAAGGTCTGGAAACTTAGTCCTTTTAATTTGGATTTTAGTCGTCTGTCTCCTTCCAGTTGGTAGAAAAGATGGGTTTGCCTTACCACTCAGTGGAACAAATGTGATGGCTCGTCAGAATGTATTAGTCTGGCTGCTTTTATTTGTTGGTCATTATGGAAGTGTCGAAATGATCTCATGTTTCGCAACAAGCTATGGGATCTGTTCGATACCGTTCAACGGGCTCTCAAGAATTTTACTGATTTTCATGATATCTTCTCTCAACATGCTTTTTTCTCTTTGCCTTTGCCCTCTGCCCCTATCTGTCCTCCCTCTTGGATTGCTCCATCACTTGGAAGTTTTAAGCTTAACTTTGATGCCTCTTTCAATCCGATCTCTAAGTTTTGTGGGGGAGGTTCACTTCTTCGGAATCATTTGGGCCATCCTATCCGGATAGCTACAGTTTTTTTTCGCAATGTATGTAACTCCTCTGTGACGGAAGGTCTAGTGCTCTGAGAATCCCTTCAGCTAATTAAGTGTTGGGGTTACAATAAAGTAGTGTTTGAAGGTGATTGTAAACCTGTAATGTCTCTTTTTCCCACGGAAGAGGCTCTTGTGATTATTTTTGAAGATGTTTCTATTCTTCTTGCGTCTTGCTCGGGGGCTTCCCTTGTGTGGACACCTCGTTTATGTAATGGAGTTGCTCATTTGTTAAGTAAAACGGCTTTGAAAGTCAATTATGGTGACTTGGAGCATAGCATATGATCCAAGTGGTTGTTAAATGCTCTCATGCCCGAATGTTCCCCTTTAGGTGGTTAATGTATTTCTTGTTTGTTTGTTTGCTTGCTGAAAAAAAAAAAAAAAAAATACTTGCTTATGTGTTGACCTTACAATATACACAGTGGGAAGCTGTTGTTTGGACTTGGGACTTGGCCAGTCACGGGATAAAGGAAAAGGTATTCCTGGGAAAAGGAGGGGACGGAAATGAAGAAATTGAGATGGGCAATGGACGGGAGTTTCTGGGACCTGGATATGTCGACGCCGGCGACCCTCGACGGACTGGCTCGACCAGTTCCCGGTGACACACTTCCCTTGGGTTTGACCAGAGGCGTCAGACTTTCCAGACCCAAGCAGATCGATTTCTTCCAGCGCTTTATGACAATGCCCTTTGTCCCTTCCTACGTCTCCAACGACTCAGCTCGTGGCGGTCACGGCTTCTCTCTTCAGCGTGTCCTCACTCTTCCCTTTGGTGAACACTGGTAATATCCTCCATACCCACTTGTATAATTTCTTGCTCACAACCTATATGTGTGTTTGTGTGTGTGAGATTGTGAATTTTATGCATACCCAATTACATTTTAGTTCAATTAGCTTAAATAAATTTGGGAACTTGGGTTCTTGGTTGGCGTGTTTGGATTAATTAGCAAATTCAAAGACGAGTTATTGATGGGTATGCTGGTTTTGACTAGCCCTGGACAGAGGGGTCCTTTTGTCTTCCTTCTTTCTCAAATTGGAGTCATATATATCTATATGTAGAGCTTTGTGAATTTTATGTATACCTCATTACTGTTTGAGCTTGGTAAACTTAAATAGAGTTGGGAAATTAGGCTCATAGCTGTCCTGTTTGAACTAGTTAACGAATTCAAACTCGAGCTATTGATGGGTATGTTGGTTCTGACTAGCCCTAGGCAGAGTTCTCCTTTTGTGTTCCTTCTTTCTCACATTTGAGTTACAGTCCCACTATCCCAGTAAGTGTAGCTCCATACTGGGGTTACATTAATAAGAATATGGCTATTAAGTGTATTGTCAATTGGGAAAACCCTTCAAGTGCAGTGCACACCTCTATGCCCCAATGCTCATGCAAACACAAACACAATTAAGGTATTAAGGATTTATTTTTTATTTTATAAGAAACAAGGACAATTAGTCTTGTATGAAGAATAACTAGATTAAACCTTATTTCCAGAATAACAACTTTGGAAGAGTAGTTATTTACTTTATTTTGAAAGGAGATGTCTCTGATCTTTATACAATTAAAATGCCTTCTTGCTGTTAGACCATGTAGTATTATTATTAATGTTAAGAAGTTTTGAGTCTCTTGAAAGCTCAAATTTGAGTTATCGTAGTTTAGTATTCTAGCACAAATCAATCATGGTTCTGCCAGAAGAGAGTGCAGTATTTACTAACTCGTAAGTAGGAACTGCAGAGTTCTGAAGAGGGAGCACTTAAAACTGGAGTTCATGCAACCAATGAATAAAAATTTGATGGAATTACTGGAACTTGGTTTCACAGATAATCCTAAAATTTTTATAGTTCTCTAGAGATACCCATATAGGCTATATTGAATTCATGTTTGACCCAAGTTCTTTTTGGGTAATAGATTTTGATGTTGCCTCTAAGAGCACTGAATCAGTGCCTTGAAAATGGAATTGGAGGAAATGTTTGAACTAAAATTCCTTCAATTTCAAGACGTTGATTCGGTGCTCCCAAACATTGCTTCAATAATGTTAGTTTTTTTTTTTAGTTGATAAAGTGCTTGTCACTGGATAATATGTCGCTTTCAATGAATATACCCTGTAGTTATTGCACACTTAATGGTTTGACTGTGTTCCATCAGATCTTCCTAATGGCATCTCAAGTGCATCTTCTTGAGATGATGAACCTTGGAGCTCCTAGGTTCTGTGCTTTGACATCTTATGGTTGGATGGTTTACCAGTCTATCCTCCTTGTGTACCTTTTAGGCAGTATGTGATTTTTGCACATGATGCTAAATGAAAGGCATATTTTTTAGGTCTGACTGTTTAAAAAATTTATTACAATTCTACACATAACTCTGCTAGTTCTCTTATGCCTTACTTCCACTATTTTAATGGAATCTGAAGGAATTTTTGGTGGCTGCTGATTTTTTATGCCGCTTTTAATAAAAGCTTTTAAATCTCAATCTTATATTACCTAAATGGTTGCCACCACCGCTGCTGCTTATTTATCTCGTGCTTATAGCCATTTAAATATTGCTACCACGCTAATATCACTAGAGTTGATATTGCCTGATATTTGGGTTATAAAAGTCATGCAGGTTTGCAACTTTGCTAGGTCAGTTCAATTTGCAGCAGTTTGTGTCTTCTGTCAAAGAGAATGGATCAATGCAACCCTCAGAATCCTCGTGGCTGAAAACCTTTGGAAGACACCTTCGCAATAAATCATTGTATGCACTTGGTTTCTGTTCAGAGTTCTTGATAACACCTAATGATACAGTACTTTTTAGCTTAGAGAAGCATGGCGATAAGAAGATACCTCGAAAGAAAGCCGTTCTTCATCACAAGGCAAGCGTTTATGATTTCTTTAGTTATAATAATTGCATAGCATTACAAAAGATGCTGCCTTCAAATGTTAAATTGATGAGTCATCTGAATCAGTTCCCGTATGCAGGTTCTTATTTATTGCTGAGCATTAGTGAGAGATCTTCCTAAATATGTGGGGTGATGTGAACTTGAATTGGTTCCTTCATCTTTAGTCTGTTTCTTTTTCCCCTTTTTAGTCTAATTTATTGGTACTGTGGCTTTTATTGATTGGCTGTATTATGTCAAAGCTATTCGTTTTGCAATTTTTTCATAGCTGTTAAAACTATTGTGTAGCAACTTGTGCTTGTATTGGTAAGAATTTCAATTGTTTTCTTGCTTAGAGTTTTTTTTTTTTTGGTTGCAATATAAAATTGCTTCATCTACGCTTTTTCTCACAATTGCATCCTATTAAGGATTTTGCTTGATGAGGATTTGATTATTATGCCCTTGCAGTTTCCACATCATAATTTAACTCTGGAGGCGGCTTGGCCAGAACTTTTTGTTGACCAGCTTGGTTCTTACTGGGATGTACCATTCTCAATGGCTATTGATCTGGCTTCAGTTGCTTCTAACTCTGGTGCAAGTTATCACGTGTGCGTCAACCATAATGCAGGGTCTCCCAAGCAATGTGAAGGTCAACAGACCAGAGTACCTCCTAATCTACTGCCTGGTTTGTGTATCAAAAGTGCATTTTCCTTCAAGAAAAATATCGACATTTGGAGAAGTAAAGTTCCAAAGTTGAGAATGGTGCAACCATTTGACATATTTCTGTCAAATCCTCATATTTCAGCTTCAGGGATACTTGGTAAGATACAGCCTAATCACTTTCTAAAATTCTACTTTTTGATGATTGAGATGAGACCTATATGTTTTCGGTGCATGCTCCATTGATAATAGTTAAATTAGTATTGGATTTGGGGAAGAAACTGCTTCTCTTTGCTTTAATATATATCATGCAACTGAAATTGAGTCTGGCAGATGAACCTCTCATTGGTTGATGCTTCCAAAAATTCTCCAGCGTGATATCCTAAATTTTTTGTGAGGATCTATTTTGCCTGCTAATTGTTATCATCCAAATTGAGATCCAATTGATCATGGTTGAGCTATTGGATTTGGATGACCTTTTATCTCAACACCCTCAACTAGTGTTGTAAAATATCTGAAATGGAAAGAGCCAAAGAAAGCAGAACCTTGCTTATGCTGTCATGCTGGCCTATAATGCCTTGCCTGAACACTCCCAGTTGGTTGATGCATATTATTTTAAGCGGAGAGATTTCATTCATGTGACCTGTATACTGTAATTGCCTTAGTATTGACTTTTGGTGTGAACTTGGCAATCCATGTCTGTGTACTTGGCACACATCTGTCCATGAAGTTACCAACTTAGCTCGGGTTTAATTACAAAGGTGTAGCAGTCAGTTGTTCATACTTATGAGTTATCTCAAAAATTGCTTGTAATGATTATTATCAATGAATTGGCGTACATTTTTCATGTTAGGATTTTAGCTCATTATTTAAATATTTGTCCTTACAGGTACTGTTGTTAATGCATCTCTTGGAGATAATATACTTAGAGAACAAGTAGAAGATGGATCTTTGGGTTTTACAGGAGTCAGTCTTCGTGCCCCGGTTGTAAAAGCTGCCATTTTAGCTGATGTATTTGCATCTGCATCATTCTCTGCACAGCATGGAAACTTCCAGAGGCTATTCTTGGATCTTACTCGTTTTTATGCCCGTCTGGATTTTCCTTCTGGTGTAAAATTTATTTCAGGCGCGAGTCGTCTGGCACAAGATCTATACAATTCTCAACTGCCAAATCTGGAAACAATTCAGGCAATTTGCCCCAATGCCACCGTTTCACTTCAGCAGCAGGTACCTGTTTTCTATCCTAATCTATCATGTTTCTATCTTTGCAAATACTTCAGGATATGATCAAGTGGAAAGAGACACAAACAGGATAATGTATAATCTTAACCTGGGTGAGGTTGTTGCTTATCTTTGTTTAACTTAAAATTGCATTAGTGTCAAAATTGCTTTTGAATCTTTATGATTTTATTATATTATGAATTGGAATTGAATGTGAATGTGAATAGGGGTTCGGGTCTAAGAGTAGCTATTTTGTGCAAATAATGCCAAAAGTTATTGTACGCAGTCCACCACTCCCGCAACCCTTTATTAATAATTTGATAGGGATTAACATTGGGTGGCAACTTTTTTAGAGGGATTAAATGCGAATTGCAACATTGTGAGCTAAAGTTGTTCTTGAACAATGTTTTGGCTTTTTTATCTGACTGCAGGCACTTGTTCAGAGTTATATGTAGCGTGACACTGTTTTTTAGTATTGTTGATGCAATATTTTTCTGAATTGTTGTTGAAATTCGGTGAAAATTTTCTGATGTCAGAAATTTGATGGATTTCAGATTGGTCTTATTACTAAAATTTCATCCTGAAATTTTGGAAATCTGTGAAGTCTCTCATTTTGACGTTTTATTAGCCGTTTTTGCTACCAGAAATAATCCTTTCCATAAACTCTCTGCAGATTGCTGGGCCTTTCAGTTTCAGAGTTGATTCAGGAGTAACACTTGATTTGAAGAACAAAGAGTGGCCTTTAAGTGTGAATGAGCCTGTATTTGCAATTGAATATGCATTGCAAGTTCTTGGGTCAGCCAAGGCCACCGCTTGGTATTCCCCAAAACAGAAAGAATTTATGATAGAGCTTCGTTTTTTCGAGACATAAACCGTATTTTTTGGTTTTTGAAGCAATGCAGTTCTTTTCATATTTTTCTTTTGTCTTTGGATCTTGTAAGAAGATGTTGCCTATTCAAAATATTTGATCATTTCGTGTCACCTTTTTAACATGCAGAATTATGGGTGGTTACTTCATAGGAATTTTAATTATGCTATACAATGAACATTTCAGGCTAAACAAAAGAAATATATATATATATATATATAAATGATCATCGGTGAGCAAAAGATCATTTCGGAGTATACATATAAAAAACGAGGGATTGCTTGTAATGGAAAAGAATGGAAAGGCAAAATTCATGTAGTCCAAGCTTTTCAAGTACTTCAAAAAGATAACCTTAAATTATAGCCATTTTCATTTGTTAAAATCTATACACGTCTTCGAATGACAAAAATGAGATGAGATGGTCGTATTCTGTTCTAGCAGTTTTGGTGAGATGCTTGTTGTATTCTGTTCGAGCAGCTCCAAAACTTGCAAACACTTGAACCTAGATAACAAATATAGAAAATGTGAGTAATGTTTAGAACTGTGCTGTAGAACTGAATCAAACTCAAACTGGTCTTTTATAGTTCATTTCAACGCCCAACGTTTGGATTTTTGTTTTGAATTGTTAGGAATTGTTTGTTATCTAATCAGTTCTCATTTAGTTTGGAACGGTGCGGATTCAGAAATAATATTTATTTGGGTGGGCTAAAACTAGAAACACATATATATATATTTTTTTCGATTGGGCTAAAATTGTCTATAAATTTTTTTTTTTTTTTTTTTTTTTTTGGAGTCCACCTTTAAATCCGTCCTGAAATTGAATCGGACCGTTCTAACTGTAAGTTGTAACCACTCTGAAGGGTCCAACCGGATGTCAAGTCACTATTCGATTTGGGCTAATCGGCCCAAATACATTTATTCAATATCTATTGGGGCACAAGTACTTTTTTTCTGTGTGCATGTCTCACATTTCCCTCCGACCGTACGAAATCCAAGTCCCCGAGGAAGAAGTGAGAGAGAAACTCACAGAGGGCTCGATCTCAGCCCTAGCTTAGAAAGGTACGATTCCTTCTCTCTCTCGAACAATTTAGGGTTTAATATCTTCAATATGATGGATTAAACGATCTCGTCTTTACGTAAATTAGGGTTTTTGAACGATTTCAACTTCTATATCTATATATTCTTTGAATTTTCACTCTCAATTGTGCACGCTTTGAGTTGCGTTCGGATTTCCAAAATCACCAGAAACAAAAAAAAAAAATTCAGTTTTTTTGTTCATACGTATTATGTTGACTTACGAATATTGTAGGGCTTATAGAGTTTGAGTAGCTAAGCTTTCTTGACGCGATTTTTGTTTTAATTTCAGTAATTTGTGTATCTTAATGTGCCAAAGATTTAAACTTTTTTCGATTACCATGTCAATGTAGGTCGAATTTATTACGTGAATAGCGTTGGACAAGCCCGTTTCCCAAAGAAACACTACATTGTTGATTGCAATACCTCAAATTACAATGCTTCTCGTGTGTACAATCTGGTTCCAATAGATTTATTTTGTGCGGATTTTTTCTTGGCTTTGAGATGGCTACTAAGAAAATTATAGCTATATGTCAATCCGGGGGCGAGTTTGTGGCGAATAAAGATGGGTCTTTGTCGTACAATGGCGGTGAGGCTTATGCACTGGATCTCGATGAGCAAACCCTTTTGAATGACTTCAAGCAGGAGCTAGCCGAAACATTTCATTCCGGTGTGGATGGTATGTTGATTAAGTACTTTCTCCCGGGAAACAAAAAGACACTCATTACAATCTCTAAAGACAAGGACCTCAAGCGCATGGTAAACTTCTTCCAGAATGCTGACCAAGTGGAGGTCTTTGTCATATCAGAAGAAGGTGCTGCTCGGAATATATCGAACATGCCTGCCAGTAGGTACTTACAATAAGTCCTGTTTAATCTGTACATCTGTTTTTATTCTAGTGTATCTTGCCCTGTGCTCAATTTCCAGGTTCAGTTTTGTCCACAATTGCAGCAAATCCATGTTACTGTTGTTCATGCTTGTCAGTTTCGCCAAAATCAAGCTGGTGACGAAGTTGAATGACAAACATGGCCCTCAGTATCTTCTTGCCATGTACTGTGATTGTGAATAGAACTGAAATTTGAAATTGGATACTGGGTGGAATAGGATAGTTAGCTGTGCTTTCTGTACAATCTTATATAGCACACTTGATGGTGCAGGTCGAGCAGGACGACTGTGTCAGAGGCAGTGGTTCCTGTAGCTACCCCTGTGAATATGAGCCATCCAGATGATCCGATTGATACGATGATGCCCACTGACGCCTCTCCAGTGGGTACTGTTGTTGAACACAGTGATGACAGACATCGTAAAGCTGCAATGCAGTGGGAGAACACCATTACTGGCGTGGATCAAAGATTTAGAAGTTTTCCTGAATTCCGTGAAGCTCTGCATAAATACTCAATTGCACATGGTTTTACTTATAAATATAAGAAAAATGATAGTCATCGTGTGACTGTCAAATGCAAATCAGAAGGTTGTCCGTGGAGGATATATGCATCTAGGTTAGCCACCACCCAGTTAATTTGTATTAAGAAAATGAGCGCAAGACATACATGTGAAGGAGCTACTGTAAAAGCTGGGTATCGCGCCGGAAGGGGATGGGTGGGAAAAATCATAAAGGAGAAGTTGAAAGAATCTCCTAACTACAAGCCCAAAGATATTGCCAGTGACATCAAAAGAGAGTATGGGATTCAACTAAATTATTCTCAGGCATGGCGTGCAAAGGAACAGGCAAGGGAGCAACTTCAGGGCTCTTATAAAGAGGCATACAATCAGGTGCCATTGTTCTGTGAGAAGATAAAGGAAACTAATCCAGGTAGTATTGCTTCATTTGCCACAAAGGAAGACTCAAGCTTCCATCGTCTTTTTGTCTCATTTCATGCGTCAATCTCTGGATTCCGACAAGGTTGCCGCCCTCTCCTTTTCCTGGATAGCACTTCTCTAAATTCTAAATACCAAGGGATGTTGTTAGCTGCAACAGCTGCAGATGGTGATGATGGCGTCTTTCCGGTTGCTTTTGCTGTTGTGGATGCAGAAACTGATGACAACTGGCGTTGGTTTCTACTGGAGTTGAAATCTGCAGTGTCAACTGACCCTCCAATTACATTCGTTGCAGATTTTGAGAATGGTCTAAGAGAGTCATTGCATGAGATATTTGAAAAATGCCCACATGGTTATTGTCTACGCTATCTAGCTGAGAAACTTAATAGAGATCTGAAGGGGCAGTTTTCACATGAAGCAAGACGTCTCATGGTTCAAGATTTTTATGCTGCCGCTTATGCTCCTAAACTTGAGGATTTTGATCGATGTACTGATAACATAAAGGCTATCTCTCCTGAAGCTTACAATTGGGTTATACGAAGTGAGCCAGAGCACTGGGCAAATGCATTTTTTGGAGGGGTAAGGTATAACCATATGACATGCAACTTTGGGCAACTGTTCTACAGTTGGGTATCAGAAGCAAATGAGTTGCCAATTACACAACTGGTTGATGTATTACGAGGTAAGATGATGGAGTTGATCTATTCACGACGGGTTGATTCCACTCAGTGGGTAACCAAGCTAACACCGTCTATGGAGGGAAAGCTACAAACTGAGACTGCAAATGCACGCTCACTTCAAGTGTTACTCTCACATGGTAGCACATTTGAGGTTCGAGGTGACTCTGTTAATAATGTTGACATTGATCATTGGGACTGTAGCTGCAAAGGATGGCAGCTTACGGGATTGCCTTGTTGTCATGCCATTGCTGTTTTTGAATGCCTTGGTAGGAGCCCATATGAGTATTGCTCCAGATATTTCACTACTGAGAGTTATCGCTTAACATATGCGGAGTCAATTCATCCAGTGCCAAGTCTAGAGAAACCAGTGAAGAGTGAACTGACTCAGATAGTTGTCACTGTAACTCCTCCACCAACTAAACGTCCACCAGGCCGGCCAAAGATGAAGCAGGCTGGAGCGATAGAAATAAACAAACGTCAACTTCAGTGTAGCAAGTGCAAGGGACTTGGCCACAATAAGAAGACATGCAAGTAAGAATCCATGTTGTACAACTTTTGACTCTTTCTTTTTCCACAGTTCGAAGACTAGGACAGTTTACTTCATGTTCTTTATTTATGGATCTTATCAATGTCTTTCTATGTACCTTCTACCTCTGCCTGGTCACTGCACTTGAATTCTTTTGTGGCATGCCAAGTTTCCTTCTGGTATTGATATATTTTTGTATGACATATTGTATGATAGTAATTGAGAAGTGTTTCCATGTTGCCAACTCCAAGTCGTCTGGATTTAATCGTTTTGTGTTGAGTTCAATATAATGCTGAAATACCTCCATGTGCATCAGTATGTATTGCATTCAAAGGCCATTCCTTTTCTGCATCTAATCATTATATTTATCATATTCTTCATCCAATGCATTTACCTTACTGGCTTTATGTAGGGACATGATATTCGTACTCCACTTTTATATATTTCACTTAAGCTGCTTTTTCAAATGAATGAAATGACAAATAGTCCTTCAAAAGTACCCTCACATTACACAATTATTCCAAAAGTGATGCTATTACACTCCACTTTATGAATAATAATCTTGTCATTTTCTTTATTTAAAAAATTATGTGGATTGCAAGTGTACAAAAATGGAGTGCCAATATCACTATCCCTTTTTGTATTATTGCTGCAATGTTAATTTTGTCATGGTGTTTCTTGTTCTTTGCTCGAGTTCATATGAGGTTTCTTAGTGTCTCTTCGCTAAAAGAACAGATATGTCTACAAGGAATTGAATTGTCACAAGTATCCCTTGGAGCCTGCATGGTCTGGGGAGTTAAAAGGACATTCTGCATGTCCTTTTCCTTTTCTGATAATAGTAATGGGTACCTTTTCCTGCTCAAGTTCAACAGGTTGGCTGGGCTGCCTAGTCATGGCTCAAAGTTAACTGGAAGTTCTATGTGGAAAAACCCAACCATTTTTTGCTGTGCGCGGTCATGCGAGGTCTTTGTTTGTATATAACACTTTTTTGGATAAGAAGGGATTATAAGCAATGGGACCTGCATGTGAAGCCATTTGTATTGCAAATTGCATTCTTCCGTTTTTCTATTTTATTAGCTTTCTTATTTGAGACAGATGCATATGGTATGGAATTACTAAAATTAGGCTAGGAAGCTTATTTCATGTGTTGGAAAATTATTTTCAGTGTCTTGACACCCCTTCATGTATTGGAAAATTATTTGCAATTTGTACTTCAACCATACCCTTTGTGTCAGTATATCAAACATTGTGCCTTCTTTTTAACATCTGGAACTTTTTGCTTATAGTAAGTTGCTTTGCTCACATTTTTCTTCCTCGAATTTATTAATGCTGTTTGTAACAATTGCAAATTTTGTTATGTAAACAGCAAGGCGATAAAGAACGACGATGCATCACATACTGATCTCGTGATTAGTCTGGCAGCCGAGGAGGAGACTTGAGAGAAGCACATGATGTTTGGTACCTTCTTTTTTCTGTGTATTTAACCCGTCATTGCTCGTCTTTTTTAAGTCCCTATTTTCAAACAAATGTTATAACCTGTGAAATAGGTGTCATGGAAAATTCTAGTCAGATTTCATCTAAGTCTTCTAGTTGCTGCTAGCCAGAGAACAAACGCTCAAATTTTTTTAATTATGTTTGTGAAGTGTTTTATTTTCTTTCTTTCTTTTTTCTTTTTCCCTTCCATTTTTCATTAATTAAAGTAGTTTTTTTCTGGAAAATAGGAGTGTTGCTGTAATCAATTCATTGGTTTTTTTTTTTTTGAATCTGAGGTGCTCTCAATAGCTTATGCTATCACATGGTTTTGCTATTATTGGGCTGCTGTCGAAATTGGGATTGTAGCTCACAGTCTGACCTGTGTACATAAAAAGAGGGACACTATTGCCACCCATGTAGATTCACTATTCTATTGGTTTTTCTATACTCAAGTAAGATTTAACGAATTATAACATATTCTCTGTAAATGTTAAAGTCTATATATGGCAACAAAAGCTAGTTGCTTTGTTAAAGATGGTTGTCTTCTAAATTGTTGAATCCTGTTAATGTGATGTTTGGATCACTTGGTGTACTTTTGGATTGGCAGGACTCCACCTACTAGGAGCCATCACCAATACTCCCACAATCATTTCATGTCTTGCTCTCTTCATTATACGGTCATAAAAGAACGAACTTGTTTATTTTGGCCAAAATAAGATTATAGAAACTCGTTAAATGAAGCTCATTTTACTATCTTTATGTTTAAATTTGTTTATTTTGGCAAAAAAAAATAAGGTTATAGAAACTCGTTAAATGAAGCTGATTTTACTCCCTCTATGTTTAAATTTGTCATTGTGATATGTTGGTATGTTGGTATCAGGTATGATATTCTTATTAGAGATATTAATTTATTTCTAATACTACTCTGGGTGCTTGGGTGCTTGTCATTGACTCAAAAAGTAATGGATGTGTAAGAAGTAATAAAGAATATATCTTATGGTTTTTTGGGATAAATTTCTCTGAATTTTACTCATAATTGATTTTTTTTAATGTAAAATAATAATAAATTTCCAGTGATATGATATTCATATTACATTATTAAATACACTTAATTTATTCAAAAAATTGATTATAAATAATTAATCTATTTAACATATTTCAATCTCAAATGGATTCAAATTGATTCAAAGCTTGCTTTTGTGAGTTTGAAAAATTTGCTGAAATCATCTCCAACTTTCTGGTGTGAGTTTGATTTTGAAAATGAATATTTGTGCTAGGTTTTTGTTTGTGATAGGTTTCGATGGGGTGAAGTTTTACATTCTAGCTTCCGTCACCCTCTTTTGAGCACTTCGCTTGCACTCTATTGCTTATTGGCTTACAAATGAGGTTACTACTACCTTATTATATACCTTACCATCAACACCTCTAAGCTATAATCTACTCTAAAATCTCTACAACTCTACATCATTAATGTTGTTTATTCTTTATTCCACACACTCCTACAACATTCTAATTGCCTCCGACATTTCACACGGGAAGACTTTAGAGCCTCGAACAAAATTTCCGATGAGAAATTGCTTGCCACTCGTGATTTCTATTCATGAAGTATGATTGGGCTTTGAAGGAGTCTTTATTGGGTCAATCTGGGCCGATCAATACCAACATGTTTTTAAGAATCATGCTTTGTTTAAAATGCCATTCTAAGTCTGGTCCTACTAATTGCAGTGGCACTCAATTGCAAACTCTGTTATTTATGATGGGAATGACAATTCTAACTATTGAGAAGTTATTTAAGTACAAAATATACTTTATTTACGGAATGACAAATTAGAATCTATGTAATTTAACCCATCAGAAACTATTTTGAAAAAAAAAAAAAAAAAAAGTTTGTCTTCCTTATTGATGGTCATATATTACGTTCCGCACGCGTTAAGCGCGCTCTTGCTTTTACGCTTTGCACATGTTCTAGCTCAAATTCTTACTATTTATGACTTAATTCTGTCGTTCTTACGCTCCCATTCTCGAATTCGCTTCATCTCTCGCTCCCGCTTTATGTGATTTAGGTCATATATGAAAAATCCCACTCAGCCAAGTTAGGCCACTCTGGCTAGGCTTGTGGTCACAGTTCACACTCATATACTACATTTTAGGATTTGTGGAATTCAATTATTATTATTATTATTTTATACTTCAACTTTATAATGTGATTAAGCTTAATTGCACTTAATCCTCTGTATTATCATTTTTTGACACATAATCTTCTCGGATAACTCTTGAAATCTATTGTCATGAGTTGTCTTAAACAATGAGGTAAAATGACATTATTGTCCTGTCTTAAGAGAAATTTTAAATAAAAAATATATCAAAAGGATAATGACAAAAGAATAATATGTAATTTTATTTTTTATAGTGATTACAACTGTCCATCGTGGAACCATCACACAATTACCTGAACATCAATGACAAAGAGAAAATGGAAAGAAAACTGTAATGATATGCAATAAAAGAAATCGAACTGTATATAATAAAATTGAATATCTTAATGTAATAATGTGGATTTACCTTACTTATCAGAAAGGGGGAAAAAAACAAAATGTAATGTATATGAATGCATATATAGTGTCATAATTAAACTGTGGAGGTGATGGTGAGTCGGCAATCACAAAAAGATATTTAAGAGTAAAGAAAATTGAGAGAGATAATGTTTTACTTGGACAAGTCTTGAAGCACACCTAAACATGCCCATTTAATGTTTAAGTATATACAAAATTAGTAAGGGAATTCTTGTCACATAAAAATGACACTTTTGGATTTTTAGAAATAGACGAAGTCACGACTCTTTTTTAAGAGATCTATTCAATAGGAGGCAAATTGCCCAAAGGATGAATAATACAATGAGTTATATACATTTTTTCTTTCTTTCTAATAGGGCGTTTCTTGCACATTTTCCATATAACAAGGATTTTTTATTTTTTTTTTTCGTACGTAACCCTCTATCTTCTCTCTCTCTATCTATCTATCTATCTATCTATATATATGTGAGATGTGAGAATTTGGTTGCCCCTCATTCAATCACCTCAACTTAAAGCAAATATCTTCATACTCTGTCACCAATTTGCCGGTATTATCTCTCTAATTTTTTTTTTTAAAATTTTTTTTCTCTCTCTATAATATTTATATGTTCTAAATTTTTTCTCTCTCTATAATATCTTTTTGTGGCCATCTCTCTATCTCAATTTTTTTTCTCTAAAATATATTTTTGTGGCTGCCCATGTATATATCTCTCTAATTATTTTTTTTTCTCTCTCTAATTTTTTCTCTCTATAATATCTCTTTGTTCTAATTTTTTTTTTTTTCTCTGTAACGTCTCTCTATCTCAATTTTTTCTCTCTAAAATATCTTTTTGTGACCGCCATATATATATATATATCACAAATTTTCTCTCTAAATTATTTTTTTGTCTCTAAAATATCTCTTTGTTCTATTTTTTTTTTTCTCTCTCTATAATAATCTCTTTGTGGCCGTCTCTCTGCCCATATATATATATATATATATATATATATATATATATATATATATAACTATTTTTTTTTATATCTCTCTCTAATTTTTTTTTATTTCTCTATAATATCTCTTTGTTTTAAGTTTTTTTTTTTTTTCTCTCTATAATATCTCTGTGCTGTCTCTCTATCTCAATTTTTTATTTCTCTAAAATATCTTTTGTGGCCGCCATATATATATGTCTATAATTTTTTTCTGCCAATATTATCTTTCTAATTCTAATTTTTTCTCTCTAAAAATCCTGTTGTTGCCAATATTATCTCTCTCTAAATTTGTGTTTTTATGAATTTTTTTCTCATTTCTTTCCTCTTTGCTTTGCTCTTATATTTTGTTTCTCATTTTTTTTCCTCTTTGCTTTTCTCTTAAATTTTGTGTAAACAGGTATCGAATTGGTTGGAAATCCAAAGAGCCAATCACAACCACTCATACCACTGCATCTAACATAAATTACATAATCTACCAAAATGAGCAAAAAAAAGTTATAAAATTAATAATTGTCAAGGTATATTGCAAGTATACTGCATCTCATCATTCAATCAAAATAAACATGGCCAAAAAAATTTATAACATCACCAACTGTTAAATTATACTGTAAGTACATAGCTTCAATCTCAACCACAATAAACATTAAAAACAAGTTATAACACCATTAATTGCGAGGGTAAGATCGTTCATGTTTTAAGAGAGCGACTGAGGAGGTGTGTAGTGGTTTGGGCGTGTTTGGTGGTATCTATAGGTTTGACTGTGCTGGCCTTAGGTGTAAGGAATAGAGGAATAAGTAAAATATTGTTAGTATTTGAATTTAAAAATAATTTTGACATTTTTATTCATTTATTTATTTATTATTTTGATAAACTTAGACTAATTTAGTAATTTTAACATCAAAATTATGATTTGTCCTTATTTGCACAAATTAGAAATAATAAGGGAATTTTTCGAATAATAGGAGGTAATTACACATTTTGTAGGATTTTTTTTTTGACACTTAACCCATATATATATATATATATATATATATTCTACAACAAAACATCTGTGGACCGGCTGTGGCGATCCTTAAAATTCACTGGACCCAGAAAATTTCGTCTACCTTAGCCTATGGTCTTTAGGACGGAGCCTGCTCAGTCAAGCTGGGCCACTTGGGCTGGGCCTGTCACTCTGCCCATCCCACATTTATCAGATATTTCCATGGTGTATATAGCACCATTTGGTGCTTGTCATTTTATTCAAAAACTTTATAAAGTTATTAGGTGGTGCTGTCCACCACCGGTGCACCTGCTTCGAGCATGCGATGACCGTATGAAAAAGCCGATGACCGTATGAAAAAGCCCTTTCATCACCACCATCTCGAATATAGATTAACATGCTCCATAAGTAAAGCTGCAAAGATTATTGTAGTTAGGGACGTAGCCATTTGTCCTACTGGTTTTTCTTTTCTTTTCTTTTTTTGAGTAAGAGACCCTATTAATTTCCATTTTTGATATATATACATATCTACAAAATTACACTACCGCCCCCATTTGAGTTATTAGAAAATTAAACTATCGCACTCCTTACACAATTTTCTAGCTTCGTTCTTGATTGTAGCAAGCTGGGCAGAAACAGTAAAAAAGAAAGAAGGGGTT